AAAGACATTCTGGACACTTGATCTTGCTGGACGAGTTAGAAGTCCTGGACAATCTCACACATGCCTCTCTAGGCGTGTAATTGATCTTTCTAGTGGTCAAACAGACACGATGTCAGAGTTGATTGCTGTTTTGGCACGCAGGATCTGGATACGTATCAATGTGGAACAACCTTAGGCTTGAAACATTACTTAGTGTGTGTGTGAGGTGCTTTACCCATTCACTATCTCTGACTAATGGGTGCAAACAGGAGTTGCAGCTGAAATCGCCATAAAGATTAATGTTGACACAGGCGACAGGAGACAATTTTGGTAGAAGTATGAGAACTAGTATTACTGGTTGCGTTAGAAGCATCAGGAAGCGTTGTAGTCTCAATGGTTTCAGAACGAACCTTTACTTCTACGCATAAGTTGCCAAACATTTAGTATAGAAGTTGAATAATCCACTACTTACTGAGATACCAAATGCTGTTGCGCTCTCGGCATTGGAAATGCGTGGGAGGTAGTAAATTGTCTGTGCCTATCGCTTTTTATAACCTTAGAGATCCCCAAGATCGACACAAATGCCAAAACTCAATTACAAGAAACAAACGTCTTTANATAAACATGAATAGCAATTAGGCTATTCGATTGAAGTATATAAAATTTTACACAACCAAACTTATGCAAGGCAACGACAATTCTATTTACCACATTTTAACTAATGTTCTCATTTTGGGATTAAGTAGCAACATCTTGTCAATTTAATTAGTGACGGACAAATAATTTACTGATATACAACTCCACCCAGTGAAGGTTACTTCTCTAATTGCCTCAGAAGTAAATATCCCTCGAATCTCTTTGGAGATATTCTGTAGCATCTAGGTTGACGATTGAGCCCATGACTGCAATGGATCTGGGTAGTTTCGGATCAATGGCGAAGGAAGGTCACGTGGGTCCAGATTAATCTCTGTTGGGTGCGTTTTCAACTTGGAAGATATGATTTTATACCGAGAAAAACTTCATTTGCAACAGCTCATCCAGATTCGGACATCAACGTAAGGCGATGTGAGACCAAGAAACATTAGCTTGATAGCACATTAGAGATGTTCGGTACAAAAGAATGCAAACGTTTGTTTAGCCTTGCCGACACTTCGCACAACTGCTTTCAATACTCTTCCCTGGGAGGGAAAAGTAGGTTTAAAAAAACTAACTTCCTTTCTATAGCAAACAACCATGGGTTGAGCTCGAATGTGCTTATACTGACAAAGACATTCTGGACACTTGATCTTGCTGGACGAGTTAGAAGTCCTGGACAATCTCACACATGCCTCTCTAGGCGTGTAATTGATCTTTCTAGTGGTCAAACAGACACGATGTCAGAGTTGATTGCTGTTTTGGCACGCAGGATCTGGATACGTATCAATGTGGAACAACCTTAGGCTTGAAACATTACTTAGTGTGTGTGTGAGGTGCTTTACCCATTCACTATTTCCGACAAATGGGTGCAAACAGAAGTTGCAACTGAAATCGCCATAAAGATTAATGTTGACACAGGCGACAGGAGACAATTTTGGTAGAAGTATGAGAACTAGTATTACTGGTTGCGTTAGAAGCATCAGGAAGCGTTGTAGTCTCAATGGTTTCAGAACGAACCTTTACTTCTACGCATAAGTTGCCAAACATTTAGTATAGAAGTTGAATAATCCACTACTTACTGAGATACCAAATGCTGTTGCGCTCTCGGCATTGGAAATGCGTGGGAGGTAGTAAATTGTCTGTGCCTATCGCTTTTTATAACCTTAGAGATCCCCAAGATCGATACGAATGCCAAAACTCAATTACAAGAAACAAACGTCTTTATGGTAGGTTTTACCCAACATTATGACATGCAACGACACTGCCATTTATCGCAGTCTAGCAAAGACGCTAACTTCACGAATAATCGGTTTTCGTTTGCTAATGCAATTATGTGCAGCTCATGAAGATGTAGAATATATGCCAATTTGGCAATTATTTGCCTAAAGAAGAAATATACTTCTATAAATACCGCAAAATGTGGTCAATTGTTGAGTGAAATTTGATTGAGGTCGTGGATGTATAGAGCGGTTCTAAGGTCGAAAGCACTAAGGATTAAAATGCGAGCAAAGCTGCTTAAAACAGTTGTCGAGACTGTTCCGACCTTGATGTTGGTAACTTCAAGACTTTTCAAAGCACAGCTCAATGGATGGGTCTGGGTTTCTACACCAACAGCTCATCCAGATTTGAATACCAACGCAAGGCGATGTGGGACCAAGAAACGTTAGTTTGATAGCGCATTAGAGACGTTCCGTACAAAAGAATGCAAACGTTTTTTTGCCTTGTCAACACTAGGATACCGTCGAGCAGACAATCACCAGAACGCACACTGATAGAAAGTCTTGCGAGGTGGAAAACTGATGAAGCACTATTCGTAAAAAGGATATCACGAAATTATTTGAAAGCATGTCAGTAGACATTTCAAGTCTCTGATGTTGAGAAACAGCCTAAATGCTTTGAATGGCGATGAAAATGCCGATAATCTTTCAACTCTAAAGCATTTCGGCATTGTTTAAATGGCTAATTCCACACTTCATCAAGGTTAGACGTCTTTCGTGGTTGCATTATGAATAATTTCTCTCTTTGTCATGGATATTGATACGGACAACAGATGCATCTCCAATGTGATGAAAATTTTGTCTCACACCAGAATTTTTATTTGCAGCACAGACTCCCTTTCAGAAGTGAGCATAGTGGAGTTGGTTATATTCTCATGGTTGCACTATTTCTTTACACACTTTTTAGTGCACCTTTTTAATGCTGAGGGGGTTAGAAAGATCATCTCGCAGATAGTCTCCGGATTATCTGCAGATGTCAAAACATTTTACACACCAAAATACACTACAATGACTCGAAAACTAATATTCGCAAATTTTAATGATGGGTAATTAATGGGAAGCATAGAAAAGCCGTACCTAGTTCTGGGTACCTGCAAATGGAAAGAAATCACATACAAACTACGGTGATTAATTTGATATTTTAATACAAATATTTCAATCTTGAAGCAATTGAGAGAAGGCTACATTCAAATTAATGTTTGGTGGGTGTGCGATAGACTTACCTCCACGTGGTGCACCCTGGGCAACATATACTCACATCAAAAAATTATATAAGCCGGTAGTTGACTTCTGTCTTCTAATTACTTTGACCCGACACTGTACCATATTACATCAGTTCACAGTACTCACCTTACCTTTTCTCTACCTTTGTGTCTGTCTGTCTGTCTCTCTTACATCTGTGAATCACTGTTCTGTCCCTCCTCTCGAATTTTTCGCACTTTGGTGTTTCTCCCCTCTGTGAAGCCCGAAGTTAGCTAAAGGGCTAATGATGATTATGAACACGCCTGCCATTTGAAATAATTTAATTAATTAATGTTAGATCAATTGGTTCAGCAGAGCAGGTAAATTTCGGCATATTTGAACAAACCAATCAGTTGAGAAAGCCGATTTTGTGAGCACACACAATGAACTCTTACGAAATTTAAATCCCTTCGTGAGGGAAAAAATAAGATTTTCCTGGGTATGCAAATCTTATAAGTTCGTGGGCTTAAGCTGTTAATTGTGTGTGCACCTTAATAGGTGTTTGTGGCACGCACCAATAGGATTGAAGAAGTAAATTTGGTGACACGCTATAAGGGGAGAACCTCAAAACAACAAGTCCCTGCCAAAAATCTACTGTGAAGTACCAAAAAACTGTGTTTGGTGGAGCTTTGAATGAAGATACTTAGTTGGAAATAGGACTCAATCACTTAAATGGTCAAAGAGGACAATTATTCAGCACTTAATTTACAATTAGGGAATACTAAAATTTTCAAACTCATTACGAACACCCCTTCAAACCTTAGTTGATTTATGGGGATTAGATTGGATTATGCAACTTGGATGAAATAATCAGCTTTTGTTAAGTATGTATAATAAATGCACGTTAAGACACTTGCTTTATAGACTTTCATGTTAACTAGTTTACCGTTGACAGATATTTAGCTGTTTTATGTTTAACTGTCGTAATGCACCTTAATACTTCGTGTCAATTTCTGCTAAAGTGCAAGAACTTGTTTCTAGACTAACTCTCGACAGCTAGAAGCCACATAGCCCAGTTATTAACTGGCACAGGGACATAAAAGTCGCACCTTGGCAAACGCAGCTAACACTCGATCAAGTGACAAGCACAACTTTGATTGCTTTAGTTCAAGTTGGTCATTCAAGGAGTGGACTTTGCAATGGATTATGAAAGTGCCGAATGCTTTATCCTCTCTACAATATACATTAATTCGAGGCAAATTCACTTCAAATTAAATAACTACGATGATAGGGGTATTAAAAACAAACCTCGATAATAAGTTGAAATCGTGTAACTTAAGTGAACAGTTGGCAATATTTATTTGACACTCGTAGACTAAAGAGGATTTATTCTATAACACTACAGAAATCGCACATTAGTAGTGTTCAAACTGACATTATTTTAATTCCTCAAGTCATGCCTCTCTTGCAACTCAAACCTTGAATTAACAAGTATTCCGTTGATTGGTTCATCTGTTGTCAGTGGATTTGTGTGTAGTCTAGTTAATGTTCTAATCAGATATGCTCATTATGCCTTCTTGATAAATTAAAAAAATAAAGTTTAATGGAACATGAGTCAATATAGGGAGGTTTTTTAATATGGAAGTAGAACTATTCGTGTTTTGGAAGTCCCTTTAGGTAAGGAAGTAATCACTTGACATATGAGTCATTTCGTGATTATATTCAATTAATTACGTGTGTAGAACTTAAAGATTCCTTTGTAGTTGCGGGTAAAGGCGGTAGTTAGGTTCACATAGTGAATTGACATGCCATAATCACATGGTTCAATTTCACTTCAATTTGAGTAGAAATAAGTTGGATAAGCTAGCTCACCAGTATATCAAATTTACCTTTGATTTATGCGTGTAGAGATGAAATTCCCATAAGGTCGAAAGATGACCTTAATTGCAGCAAAAGGACTTAATAAAAGTTGGATCAGGAAGTACTAATAACCGAGGCATATCCATTCGATTTCCTTAGTGCAGATAACGCTGGAGGAATATGACAAGACGCATAAGATCAACGAATTATTTGGGCAATCAAGTTATCCCACAAATAGCCACACACCTTACAGCACACGCCAAATTCTTTTAGTCGCTTATCATTAGATCAATGTACAATAGGGGTTTTTTTCAAAAAACAATTGAATAACACTCGCCTTTAGTTTAATCAAATATATAAATAAAGTGATGTTGACTGGGCTAAATCTACTGTCTAGATCAACCTTAAAAGGCACCAGAGATAAAAATTCATAAAGCCTACAAATGGGATGGTAAATTGTCTATTCCACATGTGGAGATCTTGAAAGAGAAAGGGAAATTTCAGTAGAAATGTTACATGGCTAGAAACCTGGGAATCACAGGCTGACTTTTTCCTCGTATTGAGAAAGGAAGTGATGCATTTTTAATTATTTAGTTAATTGATCAACTGAAAGAGGTTAACAAGACCCCTATTTCCAATTAGGCGACCAAGCAAGCATCTCATTCAAGCGGAGTCATTAGGGAGTATTGATTGATATAACAGTGTCTTGCTCAGACACAACTCGTTCGCGAGTTGTTGTAGTACTCGTCTGTCCACAAAATATCAATCTAGTTCAAAAGTTCAAGGACCTCAACATTCCAAAAATATTGACCAATGGATAAGTGAATTTAGATTTCTCCACCCCGTCCCCCCCCCCATCCCCCAAACGGCATATCTGATTTCAACACGAGAGAAAAGGTACCACAAAGCTTGCGTTGTTCATGAAGACTCCTCAGATCGTGTCGACAGAAAGATGGCGATGCAGTAGTGAGAAATTGCGAAGGATTGGCATGACGAAGGGTAACAGCTGTATAGAAGTGTGACTCGCGTGAATCACAGGTCATGCCGCACATGTCCAGGTGGTAATTTTGAGGCCAGAGTAGACGTTTGGGCTGCTGCTCATACGTTGAGTAGAACAGAGTTGAGGGCAAACCTGGAAGGTATAAGGTCAAGGTTAGATCAGAAGTGGTTGGTGCCCTCTAGCTGCCACATGCACAGACAGAAAAATCGCAAAAATATTGAAAAATAGTAAAATTGAGGATTAGACCACGGAGAATGAGGATTATGTCATCAACTTGAAGCATGTTTTGACATGGAGATGTTAAGTACAAATAAAAGTGTTTGTTGGTGCGTGTGTACCGCGAAGAAAGGAAGAGGAGAGTAGGGAAAGAAACTTCCAGAAAATAAAGCTGAAAAAATTTTTATTGATCTCTCTAATATAGGGGATAAAACTAAAAATCATATATCTAGTTCATTATTTATTATTTATCTTTTACTTAGTTCAGTTGCTTCAATAAAAAATGAAATGGGAAAAAATTTACTATTTATAGTGTCAGCTTTTAAATTTTTAATAAAAGGTTAATTTTACTTTACGGCATTTTGTTTGAATTGTTCTAATTTAAAAGCTTCTCCCTTCATCCATTAAAAGTAAGAGGAACATTGTTAGTTTAATTTGTTTCAAATAACATTGATAATAGATAATTATGGCAGTGGAGGTATTCTCTCTCTTATATGTTTGATTTAATTAAGTCTCGACTAAAGAATTTCCAAAATTCGCTTATTATTTCAGCGATTTAATTCGATTCGTGAAATTAGCTCCAATTCTTGGCATTTGACGATATCTTTCATTAAATACTGCCTACCGACCTGGAAAGATGTTTGCTTAGTTACCATCCAACTGGGTAGAAAAGCATACAATCAATTTCTATTCCAACATCTGTGCAATTTGGCATTGAGCAGAACAGTGGAAACAGCTAAGCGATTTCCGAAGCCGTCACACACATTCCTTTGATCACATTAAATGCGCACACATGCACACACGCACGCACGTACCCACATGGGCATCAGTAATGCGCAGGTTCACTTAAAACGACACTACTGTAATAATTGCAACTTATTTGACACTAAGAATGCGAAGTACAAACTGACGTAAAGGTAAATATTGTCTGACAAACCACATTCGCAATGAAATTTCCTCGGTTTCGTAATAGATAATCAATGAAATTGTCTCAGAATTCAATGTTTTATTAAACTGACTTAAAAGGACACTATGACGAAATTTAAATGAAGTGGCCTATTTTTGAAAGCGGAAGTACGGATTTTTTAACTATATTTGCAAACAATTGTGACATCAGAGGTAAATGAACTCTTATACGCTTGAAAGTACAAATATTTTAGCCGATGAGATTGCATATTATCTTAAAAATGATTGTTGATATTTATGAATTACTTTGCAATTGTTTCAAGATCTTGTCATTCAAACATTTGAAAGTAGTTGTTTGCGTTCATCGAACTTCATACAACCCTCACTTTATTCAACTTTCACTTTTAACTCAAGAATGGGTGACGCAGTAAGTTTGCGCATTCCCTTCAATTAATGATGGTTTAATACATGAAAGTTTTAGACAAAGAAGGCTAAAGAGAAGGCGCAGTTCTTAAGGTAGGAAAAAGGAGACATGACAGTTAATGAATAGGATGGTGTGTTATGAAGACAGTGATTAAAGGGCTAATCTCGCTCCTATCACTTTAGAACTCCCAAAGAGATTGTGCCTAAATTCCAGAACTCCCTAAAGGCAAATTCAAACAAATATGCTAATTTGATAAATAATTAAGAATAAACTCTTAATCTGATTTGTCTTGGATACATTAGATCTCTGTTACACTGGGGAAGATTTATTTGTGGAAGTCTTGGAGAATAATATATCATTATTTTAATTAAATGGTTAATTGAATTCATCACTGTCAATGAGTTTTCACTCAATGCTCCCTTTAAGAAAATGCCAAAAGTGCAAATTACAGCTTTATCAAATCAAATTGTGTAAACTCGGAGCACAAAAATGTACTTGGACTTCAGTTATCATCTTCCACAAGGTCGTTTTCTTCGTTGTTAGGTCTTCTCTACTATGATATATGACTTGCCACAAGTAATTTGTGAACAAGTATTGAATTGTTCAGTGAAGTTTTGGTGAAAGATCTCACCTTATCTTTAGCCACGACTTCGAGGTACGTAACTTTTTAAACTAGCCAACCACTTTGACTTCCAGTTTGGCAGCGTATTATTGACCTTCTGCTACAATATCATTGATTTGGCATCCGTGAATACCATAGTTTACCGAATAAGCTCAAAATGGTAAACATTGTTTATCCTCGTTCCGAAAATAAATAAATATTTGTTCACATGCTGCTTTTCCATCCCAATGTATTCCAATCCCCCAGTATCTTCATTATTTGAATGATGGTGGTTTAGGTATTTGTCATAATCAAAATCATAGTCCTCCAACTCTTTGGTCATTACGAATGCTTCACACCTAATAGATCTCTTTAAAACTATTATTGATTATTGCCCAAGTCTTAATAGACACTACTTAATTCATCATAATATTGGAATAAAAGGAGTATTTGCACGCCTCACTCCTTAAATGAGTGAAAGGTGGAAAAAAACTTTCTGACAGACTTCGAAGAAGAATCCCTTTCCATTGGCTGGAAATAAAAGAGGACAGACAGTGAAGAAGTAGTTATAAGAGGCAGAGCCAGAGAGAGAAAGAGAGGAAGTAGTGACAATGAAAATTGGAATTCCACCTCATGAGATCCTGTTCATGGCATCATCCATCGCTGTGAAAGTGGAACGAAAACCTAATCTCATCTGCATTTTTTAATGATTTTTTTCATAATTGTAAGAAGACGCCATTTTTCTCGTGCCTATCCTACGTTCGAATTCAGTCTACACCATAGAATGCAATTTTGTGAAAGATCTGGGACACCGAACAGAAGTTTATTGCCTGAATTCTCATCGTGTGACGACGTTACCCTTTGCCTTCAATACATCCCGTTCTCACGCAACAGATTTCTATTATAATAAGTGCCAATGGATAAGCATGGCTTGATGGGGGCTCGTTTGTGATTGTTTCCATTCTGAAAATTTTCCTCACTGTTTGTGTATTAGATAACACAGAGAAATGCATCTTTACTCTCTAGAATGCCAGATGGAAAGTCGAAAAATGATGTTATTATTGTGAACTACAAAGCGGAATTATTTGAGTGACCTTTTCCGCCTCCTTAGCCTGATAAACAATATGATTTATATGTAGAAAATAAGGGTGCAGAAAAAGAAACAACTTTTCTTCCACTTTCATAAACAAGATTCTTCGGACATCTTGTGGCTGCCTCTTGGTGTTCTGGCACCTTAATTACACATAAAAAGAAATCAAATTATGTTTAATATTCAATGAGGCAAAAGCATTCAAACCTCAAGAGCATTAAGAATTTTCAATGAATAGAAGCGAAAAGAGATATTTGAGCATCGAAGTCTCTGTCGTATTCACATGCTGATTGACGAGCTTACTCTATCTCTCGTGGACCTCTGCCCTTATTGTTGACGGCCAAAGAACAAGAGATCAGTCAACCGTCTTATCTTACACCATTTCACTTCTCCGTCACTCAGTACTGATGCCTTCCTCTCTCTCACCTCAGTTCCTTCATCTAGTTGTTACTCCTATCTCCACCACCCTCCCCCGCCACCCTCCGATTTCTCTCTTTCATCTTTAACTATTCAGCGCACATTTGTAAACCCTATCTCTTGGTCTACTTCCTTGGAAATGCTCTTGCACCTTGTCAGCCCTACCAAGATCACTGATTCAAAGAACTAGTATTTAGTCTTACTTGATCTGGTTCTTAAAGTAGCTTCACTTGGGATAGGAACTATGTTAGACCCTTTTTAATGTTTTATTTGTTTGTCCGTTATAGGTTAGAAGTTCTTGTGGTATGGTTGGTTCAACATGTCGTTCCATTAGTACTTTGAAACTGTCGGTGTAACCCACAAAATTACAATAAGTTACACTGCTTCATAGCGGAAAACGAGTGCTATTGGACCAGAAAACCTGGTTGGGATGAGGAGACGGAGAGAATCGGAATTGGAGCTTCAAGGGAGTTTCTTCATCTGAATTTCGGATTGGAGTTGCAGCAGCCGGTGTTGTCACCGTGCTCCTGGTAACCTCGAAACCCAAATTAGTTGGAAGCATTTTAGTCCGTTGGCAATTATTTTTCGAATAGAAAATTTGCCGCCTACCGAGGTAAATGGAGCAATAATTTGCGCCCATTTGCTGCTTTCATGAATGGTTGGTGATGCCACCCACACAAGTATTCCTACATGCCTGTTAGCTGGTGTAGAGTAAAAGGTCGAACGACTGTCTAATCTATTCAACTGTGTAAACCTGCCGCTTAGGCTAATAAGTCAGGGAATTATCGAGTTTTAAGAGAGGTCAAAGAAAACGATTTATAATCGTTTGGTTAATATAGTGCTCGCTATGTTAAAGCTGTGCCTATGAATTGAATGCGAAAAAACCTCGTCATCTAATTGTTTCGTAAAAGCGAAATGAAGTGGCACCATACCATGAGCATTGAACACCTTTGACGGGGATTTGCTGCAATCCCATGACAGCTTAAAATGGCAGGTATGCGCTTTCTGCATTCCCCTTCACATTCCTCCCTAATGCGAAATTCGTCAAATCCAATGTATGTATTTGCAATGCTTATCTTTGTTAATTTACAGACGCTCGAAGTATATTTTACCACGTTATATTTGATTGTGCTTTCCTGCTGCTAAAATGGGAGGTTCAAATTTTTTGCCATAGTTGATTAAATGTTCCACCCTCAACCACGAAGCTTCCACTTAATCTTTGATACTACAAGCCCATACAAGCGTCATAGATGTCAAATTCACTTAGAATAGACATACGAAACATCCTACTGAAGCACCAACAATTTGGTTCGTTTGCAAATGAGACAAACTTGCGTCAAAATCAAACGGGAGCTCTTTGAGTCATGCAGACTAAACCATCACCGCTTTCGGATGTCTGTTTTTTCCGCCGCATGGAGTGGTCAAATGTTATTCCTCCCCTCCCCCCCCCCTTCCTCCTCCGCATTGTTTCAAGGAATGTGAAATTGTTGAGCGCTGTTGTAGTTAAGCCTTGGATATAACGAATGGGTGTTGTCAATAATAGGTCATTTGGTGTTAGTAGGATTTG